AGAATTAGGTGAGTTAGAATAGATATCAGACATGTGCCTAGGTACACTTTGTGCTCCTGAAATGTGTATATGCCTTCTGAAGTCCCACAGCAACTTCTGTAAGAAAACAGGCCCATTTCTGATCTCAAAATTTTATTTGAAAGAAAACATGAGGCCCACTTAGAAAAGGTGGAGGACTTTCACAGAGCCACCCAGCTTGTGGTGGTATATCTGAGACTAGATAGAGTTCAGGTCCTCTCTCTGGCCCACCTCTGTAAATCAGCAATTTCTCTAGGGGCATAGATCTCCTAGCTATACACACTGAACACTCACTCAAAGTGGGAGAAATAAAGAGCACAAATAGCCTCTAGTTAGTTACAGTTTGTGATTTGTTACCAAATAATTATGAAAAAATTTAAATGGTCACTGTTCTTTCGATTTAGACTTGTGAGTCAGGTACTGAGAACTTGTAACAGGAATGTGTGGTATTCCTCAAGTGTGTGGGAGTAGAAAACATTAAAAATTCCATTTTATACCATACCACCTCCTGCATTTTATTATTTAAAGGTTGTACCTCCTAAAGGATTAAAGGGAAATCAGAATCTATGTGGCCTAGACTGAAATTAGAGAAGACTGGCACAACAAATCTCTCAGGCTCGAATTCCCTGTGTCACTCTCCCCACTTGTTAACGGGCTGGCTCAACCTTTTCAGCAGAATGGTCTCCCCAAGAGATCATCTTAGCTCTATCCATGAAGAGGTCAGCTGAAGAACAGGATTGCTATTGGTTTTCTTCCAACCCTCTCCCCCTTTCTCACGAAAAACTATTAAAAGCACAAATCCTGATCTCAGAGTTGGATCCATTTTTAGATGCTAAAATAAAGAAAATTAGGGGTTCTTGGATTGGGTATGTTTTATCATGTTCAAATCGTAAAGGTGCTACAGCTCTTATATAGGAATATCTTGGCTATTTTTAATCACAGAAAAACTTCCCAGGGAGACTCAGGTTAGCTTCTTTTGTGCAATGACAGTACACAAAAGGTTTCACTTGGAGTAACAGACAAAATTATTCCTTCAATACACTTTTGCCGAGCCCATATCTGAGATACAAATAACATTGCCCTTCTAGTCCAAGCTATGGATTTTGTACTAGAGATTCTTATAATTTCCTGTCAATCACTTCCTCTTCAGTTCCTCCCTTCCTTCTTTGAGAACCTGCCCACAGACTCTGCAAGAGTCAGTGCCCACAGTCCCTGCTGAGTGAGCATGTCAGCCTCCTCCTTGACCTCAGACAATTAGATTACAAGTCATTACTTGAACTCAACCAATCAGCGTCTCTCTCCTGGGATAAGAATTGGGCCTTCTGAGATGCTACTGAGTGTCTGATGAGCATTTAAAGAGAAAAGTCAAGTCAGTAACAGGAACATTGTGTTTGGCTCTTGTGCCAAGGATCTGGGAATAATAGATTAGGAAATAGAGATAGAAGGAGAATACAGAATAATGATCACATGCAGAGGGAAGCAGAGATCAGAAACCGATTCATTTGAGAGAAACTGAGAGTGAAGCCTCAATTTTGCTTTCTTTTGCTGTTTTCAGCATTGAGTGGACATTCATTGCATTCTCTACCCTTTCAATCCATTATATGAGCTGTACCTTGATAAATACAACCCTCTCTTCCTGTTTGTGTGTGTATATGTTCATATGTGTAATTGGAATGGATTTTTTTTTTTTGACCATGGGATCTCAAGACAGTTTTGCATCACAATCTCACTTGTGATGATCAGTAACATTTTCAAAATGGCAGCTTGGTTTATAGAGAAGAGCTCATGCTCCTGGGACTAGAACCAAAAAGTAGATCGCCTATGTTCTAGTGTCTTAGCACCACACTCATTGATTTATCTGTTGCTGATGCTTCAACACGTACATGTGCTTTTGCTGTTTGCATTCTTTGTATCAGGCTAAAATAGATTCTTTTTTTTTTTTTTTTTTGAGATGGAGTTTCGCTCTGGTTACCCAGGCTGGAGTGCAATGGCGTGATCTCGGCTCACCGCAACCTCCGCCTCCTGGGTTCAGGCAATTCTCATGCCTCAGCCTCCTGAGTAGCTGGGATTACAGGCACGCGCCACCGTGCCCAGATAATTTTTTTGTATTTTTAGTAGAGACGGGGTTTCACCATGTTGACCAGGACGGTCTCAATCTCTTGACCTCGTGATCCACCCGCCTCGGCCTCCCAAAGTGCTGGGATTACAGGCTTGAGCCACCGCTCCTGGCCCTAAAATAGATTCTATAATTGATATCTCTCCCAGAAAGTGTGACTTTCCATCTGGGATGGATTTTCAAAAATTCTTACTGGGAACCCATAGAGTTGGAAGGACTCCAAGATTCTTCATCATACCATTGGTCAGGCTCTCTGGTTTCCTTCTCTGAAAGGTGTGAATATGACCTTTCCATTGGCCACCAGGGTTGCCATATTCAGCTACTTGCCTGAGACACAAAGGGCTTTGAGGGAGAACAGCCCACAGACTTCTATTTGAGGAATGCCAAATGGTTCTCCAGGGCCCAGCTGGTACTGCTATCTCTTGCACAGTGCCTGAAATGTGCACAGCTATTTTTGGTGAGTTATAATATTATTGCTCACAAGTCTAATATTAAAGCAAAATTAACAATACCCTTGGGGAAAACAGGAAACTCTCGAATTTGCTTAGTTGTATGATTCATGAAAATAAAAATCTTCATGCTTCAGTCTCCTCATCTATGAGATGGTAATAATAATACCTAAGAAGATGGTAATAATAATACCTATCTTAGAAGATTGTTATGGGTATTAAATTAGTTACTATTTGGGACTCCCTACAACAGTGCCTGGCACATAGTATGAGCCCTGTGTTTGTAAAAACAACAACAAAAAATATTTTCTGTCACTCAACCTGAAATGGCTCAAAGCAAGAAGCCTTTGAAAACTGGACATACAACAAATTTTCTTTAATTCCTTTTTCTTCTTTTGTCAGATAAGTGAGTTTAAATGTTTTTGTTAAACACACCTGCCTCCTGTAAAACAATGAGAGGATAAAGCCCAGGGCTTTCTTTTATGTGATCTGTAACCTCTTGGATTTAGAATGTCTGAGGTTGCGAAGTAGGGAGGGCCAAGGTGTTGGGTTCTGGTGGATCTGAAAACCAAAGGATGAGGCAACACTTCACCAGAGCAAGGCCGAAGGTTTCTCTCCAGAAAGGATTTTCTTAACATAGGTTATGAGGCATACAATGTTGGGCTGGGAAGAAAATGAGAGGTCAGGGAGGGACTTGGCAAGTAATAATAATTTTACAATGAATAAAGGTCTTTCTTTTTCCTGGTAAAAGATTTATTTCTTCCTTCAGCAAGATGTCCATATCAGCTTGTATGGGCTTCTGCTCCAAACTGGCCTCCCTCAGGACCTTGGCTGAAGGAACAGCCTCCATGGGGCATGTTGCCAGTTATCACAGCCCAGGGAAACAGGGCAGTGAATTGAGCCCAGGCTCTCAGAGCCTCCACCTGGAAGTGGCACATTTCACTTCAGCTCAAATGTTACTGGCCAAAGGATAGACAAACTCAACTGTAAGGAATCAGAGAAATACAGTCCTACCACACATTATAGAATAGCTCCACTAGACCACATTTACATACATGTTTGGCCAGCCATAAACTCATGGAAAGTAAGGACTCGGACTCATTTCTCTTTACCTTTCTCTTGGCAACAGCCTGCAGTAGAAGTGCAGTGCATGCAGTGCCTGACTGTGGAGCTGGGCAAGTGACTGGAACAAAATGGGAATCAAAGCCGGAAAACTATTTCTCCTCTTTCTCCTCCCTTTGGCACCTCTTTGCTTCTGCCAGGATTCTGACTCTGAAATTGATTGCATGAGTGATCCTGGACCATCATTTAGCTACTCAAAGCCTCAGTTCCTGCAGTAGGAAAATGGAGACATTATTACTCCCATGTAAAGAGAGAGTAAGAATCTCTGAAAGCCAGGTTGATCAAGTCTGTGGCTATGGCTGTTGCCCAGTACCCCCTCTGGGAACCTTGAGTGCCCATTGCCGTATGCTGAACTACCCTACTGAGTCCTGCTGTCCTTAAGCAAGGTCCTATATGAATAACAGTCTTTGTGAGAATCTATCTTAAAGGTTCAGACACTGATATTTTCTGTCTCTGTCTCTCTCTTTCTCTCTCTCTCTCTCTCTCTCTCTCTCTCTCTCTCTCTCTCTCTCTCTCTCTCTGTCTCTGTGTGATTTAAACTCAGTAATACAAGATGTGGTCATGGGGGTCAGTGTGGGTCTCTGGGATATGATTACTTTTACATCATAATCCCAAGGAGTTGTTGGTTAAATTGTGGTCAGAGATTACAAGAATACTGGGTTTTATTTTTTTATTAAGTCAGATGTATTTAGGTATAATTCACATGCAGAACAATTCACTCTTTTTAGTGTGCAGTTCTGTGAATTTGACACATGCATGCAGTCATGTAACCACCGCCTCAAGGTCAGCTTCTCTGACCTTTGAACTCAGATCAGGTGGTAATCTCTTTTAGCATCCTATAGCCTTTATTTCAATTCTAATTATACTGTGTATGTAATTAATGAAAAATTGTTTAATGTCCATCTCTTCTGCTACACTTCTGCAAGCATGCCTGAAGGAAGGAATTGTCTGGCCAATGCATTACTGTATCCTCAGCAGTACCGTCAGGTAGATGCTCAACACATGTTTAGTGAATAAATGAGTGACTCAGTCACTATAAGTAGAGTACTCTAGGTCACCATTGACACAGCAAATGCAATTTAATATTCAGTGGTGTCAAATCTATCATATTGTAAAGCACACAGAGACCTTATCATTCAAACATTCCTGAAGTGTATGTGTAAATTTTTAGAGTTACATTGGATTTGAATACCAGCAAGAACCATCCTAGGCAATTAACAGTTGTATGATTGATATAGTCAATTATTTAAAAATAAGATGGAAACATTTTAATAACTTAACACTGTCTTTTGCCATTATTTTATACAACATATTTAAAACTGTTTATTTCATAATTTTTATACTCCATATATTTTGTAACAGATCTGACATTAGAGTGATGCTTAAGAGAAAGATCATGAAGTCTTCAAAATCTAGCTTATCTTCTGTGTGCTCATCAAGTTCAGAAAGGATGTCTCTGTATTTTGGCTTGGTTTCTTGTCCCTATAAGAATAAATAAATAAAACTCGTATTCATTGTATATACTTTAGGTTTTCAGATCATAAACAATATTTAGATGAGATAACACATAACTTCAAACACTTCCCATAAGGCCCCACCTCTAATACTGGAGATCAAATTTCAACATGAAGTTTGGAGGAGACAAACATACAAATTATAGTAAATAATAAACATGTTATCAAGAATAATATATCACGTTGCCACCAGTCAAATACCATGTTAAATCTTTTTATGTGTTATCTCATCTAATTATCATAGTGACCTTATTGAATATATACTACTGTTATCCTCATCCTACAGATGCAGTATCAGAGACAGGGGATAATACAGAAACTTGCCCCAAGCTAGGAAGCTTCTGGTGTGGAGCCAGGGTTTGTAGCCTGTCAACCTCTTGAAAGCCCATACTCTTAACTGCAAAGCTAACCTGCCTTTCTTTGAACAAACATATTATTTTTTAAATTTTTAAAATCTTTGTGTTAGGGAAGGTATCCACTGTGGGTTCATCATCTGAGACTTAAGATTATTCAAAAACATAGAATAACATATGCTAAAAGAAAATATGTACTTTGGAAGATGATTCAGCATTTAGTTTCATTATAAATAAAATGTATGTTCATAGTCTTCATAAATAGTCAGATTGAAGGAAAACATCTTAATGGTATATAAATGAAGAGACGTTTTAGTTTCAAATCACAGCTCGTGAGCTATCTTTCCCAGTGACATTAACAATATTGAAGTCATTTGAGTCACCATTAAACTGAATCATATTTACATTTAGTTCTACCCCAAATGCTCACCCATGTGCTAGGTGTACAAAGCCATCACAGCAATGACTAAAGCACTTTGGGAATGATGCTGCCTTCCTCTTATAGACTTAGACCCATTCTAGTTTCTCAGTGCTGTTTCACCTCAAGAGGTTACCCTATCCATGAGGGCCAAGAGGACCTCTCTACTCTCCACCTCCAAGAGAGGTGAATGCCACTTTGAAAGGGTCAAAATCCAAGACACAGTTAGATAAGACCACTTTACTAGCAGAATGGCACATTGTTTTCTCAGACGTACGAGATAGGTATTGGTCTTGTTTATTTTTTTTTTCTGCATATTGTAAGAGCACGCCATTTTCTGAGGTCCAGTCCTCCTAGGGTATGACCGGTCATCTTTTTGTATCTTCCCAGTAGCGCCTTTCAGTGCATTGTTTTACTCTATCTGAATGGCTATAGGGTGCTAAGATCCCCAAAACCATCTTTAGCCTTATGGGAAAGGAGATATTCCCCTTAGAACTCAGGCCTTTGCCAAAAGAACCAGCTCAGTTTATCAGGGGACACCACGTGGGGATTAAGGGAAAAGCCCAGTTAGGAATGAAGTTGGCTCCTTAGCTTTGCCATTAACTCACAGGCATGCACCTGTCCTGGGGGGGGAGGTCTCATGGAGTGGGGTGGTTGGGCCAAGGCAGCATTCTGACAGACATTGTAGAGAATGCCCTGGGATGAACTATACCCTCAAGTCCCTGAAATACAGCTCTGCTTTCCTCTCGAGCAGAGAGCAGGATTACACTGAGGCCTGGGTGTACCTGCTGCTAGAGAGATCCAGAAATTGACTGTACTTCTAGGGTTTAGCCTACACTGAGAGGTACGAGGCTGAAGGTGTCTTTCCTAATCATTGATTTTTCATTCATTTTCCCCTGGTGTTCTGAGAGGGGTGATGAGTTACATCAAGACGGTGCATCCACTAGTTCTTCATTTTCATATCTGTTAAAAGCTCGCTGAAGATTTGCCAGGCTACCAGGTAATGGGCCTGTATCTGGCATATGGGCCCTTTTCTTTTGGCCTTGGATGCAGGCAAATGGTATAGCATTTATTTACCCATCCTTTCTTTAAAGACTCCCCAAAAGTTGTCATCTCTTGGTAAATTCTGTCTGATATTTCTGCCTGAAAAAGTAGCTTTTCTAAAAAAAGAATTTCAGAAAAATACATGTTTACTATAGAACATTTAGAAAAAGTAAATTAAAAAAGACTGTGACTGTAACCTTTTACTCCACTACTCAAAATAGCTAACCCTAATTAACATTTCTTTTCATTCATTTATCTGTGTATCACACTATATTCTCTCCCTTTTGAAATAATCGCCCACTCACAGGAAGTTGTATCCTTGACCCAGCTCCCCGCAGTTATACATCTTGTATAACTGTAGTGCACTAAACTCATTTATAGGTGTGTATGTATGTATATGTGTGCATAAATAGAATACCATCTTTTCAATATTTCAGAACAGACATAGGCATTTACAGACTACCTCTATGTGCTTTGTTGCCCTACCTATCAGTAAATTTTGATAGTTTAGGCTGGTGTGAGGCCCTCTGTTCCTCTTACACATTTTCCCTAGGCTGGGATTTTCCAAAGTATGAACATATACTCATGATAGAATGTAATGCCATTTTAGGTGATATAAGAACAAATATTAAATAAGAATTGATAGTCATTGATTTTTTTTCACTAGTATCTTTTACTCTCACCCGCTGAATTTACATTAAGAATAATGATAAAGCGTCCTTACAAAAATTTACTTAAGTAGAGAGACAACGTGAAGGAAAAGTTCAAAGCAAACGATAACCCAGGCTATAGGCAGATGTGGGGAAAATAGTGAATATGGTATTCAATGACTGAAGTTTGAGGAATACACCCTTAAGTGAGTCAGGTTACTCCCTTTAGGCCAGTGACTGATTATATAGTGCTGACTATCATTTCTGTATTTTGAACACAGATCTCTATTCTAACCTTTGAACTCATCTATCCTGTTGCTGTCTGTTTCTCCTCTTAAATATTTCATGGACATCTTAACACTGACACATCCTAATGGAACTCACCATCTCCTCCCCACCCACACCCCACCTCAAATCTGCTTATTCTTTAGTCAATTTCTTCTCTAGGAATGGGAACACCACCATTCCTTTTGTAAGTCACAAATTGGGTAGTCATCATTTGCTTTTCTGTCCTTAAATGCTCACAATCAATTGTCAGATGTTGTTCATTCCACCTCCTAAATGTCTCTTCTATTTGTCTGCTTCTCTCCATCTTCACCGCTGTAGTCTAAGCCACCACTATCTTTCTCTTGTATTACCTCCCCACAGTTAGTTACTCCCTTTTTTCCTATTCTACCCCCAACCCCAGTCTGTTCTCTGTACTACAGCTGGTGTAATTTCTCAGACCTGGACTTAGAAACTATTCCTGGCTTCCTCTTGCCCTTGGACTATGCTTCTATAAGATTTGGCTTCTCCTCACCTCCCCAGCCTCACCTCTAACCTCTTCCCACTTACCTTCCCATCTTTTCTCACCAACTGGCCCTCCACTTCTCTGCTTGGAATGCCATCATTCTCACTTCCCCTTGCCTGGCTACCTCCCGCTCACTCAGATCTCAGCTCTACCTTGGTTTTCCAGGAGCCAGTCATTGACTACCTACCTCAAGATAGTTCCTCATTTTACTCTCACTGAATGCTCTGCTCTTTCCCATCCTTTGACTATTTCTGATTACTTTTTTTAGCATGTTTCTTTCCCCTGCTGGATTGCTGTGTTCTTCACTGCATTAACTCCAGTATAGCTCACTGACTGGCATAAGGTAAGTGTTCAATAAACATTCATTGCCTAAAACAACATGACAAGGGCCTGGAGCTGGAGTTATTTGCTCGTTGGGTCAGCCGTGAGGATTCTCATTTCTTTACCGAAGTTAATTCTCTCACCTCTGTGAAATTCCTAAATTGGGTTTGCAGCAAATTTTTGGCAGTAGCTTTTTCAAGTTTACCATGAGAGTCAGAAGAGTTTCTGAAAATCAGAACAGTGGTGGCAATGGCTTTTTCCAGATCTGAGCACTTCCTCAGAGCTAGGAGAGAAGAAATGTGCAACGAAGTATCCTGAGTTAAAAGTAACCCTTCCCCAGACCTGCTGTTGTATCTTTCAAGGGAACTGTAGGGAACCTTCCAAATCTTGGCCCTTTGCCTCCTATCTGGGAGCAGGATGTGGGAATTTCTGATCCTGCATCTTTAAACAATGGAGGATGTGGGAGTTTCTGATCCTCCATCTTTAAACAGTGGAGAACAAAAGTTCCCTTAATAGCAATTAGAATTAGTAGAGTTAGAAATGAGATTTACCACCTGGTTGCTATGTGACCTTAGAAGATTCCCTCACCTCTCTAAGCTTTGGTTTACTGATCTGTGATTTCACCCAGTTATTCAACAAATATTGCTAGAGCACCTACTATGGATGAGGCTCAGTCCTTGGTATTAGGGATAAGTCACTGAATAAAATGAAATTCTGCTCTTGTGGAATTTATATTCTATGTCAGACACAGCATCACTTCATGTCAGTATGATAAAGGAGAATGAATTCCAAAGCAAGCTCTTTGATATAATGATGGATAAGGGTTCTCTTTGACATGTGGCCTAAAACAGAGTGATCTCCCAGCTGGTTTCTCTCAGTAAGCTCCTTGATAGGGCAAGACTAATTCATTTCTTTTTAGCGTGTTGTAGTGAACACAGGGAAATATACAAGGTACCATGAAGAAAATTTGTATGCTCTGTGTTCTTTTATTCACCAGTACGTCCCCTAGTGTAGAACTTACAACACTTTACAGGTATTACATGTTTATCTGTCCTTTCCTTAACTAGAAAGCAGTCTCCATGGGCCAGGAATCAGACCCTTTTTCTTATTCCCAGTGACCAGCACAAATGTCTGTTACATTGTATGTGCTAATAAATGCTGTTGAATGAGTGAATAAGAAGAAAACTAAAAAAAAAAAAATCTCCCAGTTTTCAGCCCAGGAAATGTGCAATATTTACAGTTCAAAGAATGAGGTTCAGTCAGAATAATATGATTTTAGTATTGAGCGCTTACTACGTGCCTGGTATTTCCCTAAGGTACTCAGCACACAGAGGGACAAAACCATTTGTGGCCAGGCACAGTGTCTCATGCCTATGATCCCAGCACTTTGGGAGGCTGAGATGGGACTATCGCTTGAGGCCAGGAGTTCAAGACCAGCATGATCAACATAGTAAGACCCTTGTCTCTATTTTTTTTTTAATTAAAAAAACCCAGATGTGGTCTCTGCTCTCATAGATCTTATAATCTAGTGAAGAAATCAATAATAATCAAGAGTATTGTTTACATATACACATTTACTTATTCTTTATGTTGTTTGTCCCCATAGTCCTGGGGTGTAGAGCAGCAAGTGACATCGACTTTGTTTACAGCTTGTGATGTATGAGGCAGGGAAGGTATAGAGACAGGAAAATAATTACAGAGTACGTCTGGAAGGAAAACTACTTAGATAGGTGGTCTGGAAGGGCTCCACGAGTAGACTAATATTTAAGCTAAGAATTATAGAATGAGGAGGAGCCAGCCATGAAAAGGGTGAGGGGTCAGGATAAGATTAGGAATTTGCTGAATGTTCCAGGCTCGGGAAGCCAGATATGTGAAGGCTCAGATCAGAAGAAAACTGTCATATTTGGCAGATTTCTGAAGGAAGATAGCTGTGACGAGGGTCTAGGGGCTGAAAGGGTGTGTGTAGGCAAAAGCTAGATCAAGTAGGACTTACAGGCCACATATAAAGGAATCAGGATTTTCTTCAAAGTGGAAAGAGAAGGCATTAAAGCATTTTAAGCATCTAATTTTTCAGTTAAAGGTGAGAGGAGAGACAAGAGTTAAGACAAATGGGTGAAAGGAGGGAGTGTGTGGATCTTCTCAGTTTTTATTGTGTCTCTGAGCAGTGCCCAGGTTATATATTTGGTTAAATAAAGTTAACATTGCTTAGAAGTGGCAATGAAAGTATTTGAAATCTTTGACTTCAAAGTCTGTAGAAAGATCAGCCACTTAGGAGTATATTATTACAAGGGCACCCCATGTTGATTGTGGAATCCAGACATTTTTCGTCCTTCTGATGAAGTTCAGATCTGACTGCACTCTGAATGGGAACTCCATCTGGTCTAGCCAACTTCTCATTCTTTTCTCCATTTCTTTTAAAAACCAGCATGCCTTTCCCCTGACTACAAAATAGCATATGCCCATGGTAAAAACAGAGATAGAAAATATTAAAAATAAAAAATAACAAGGAACTCTGGTTATTCTAATAACAGTGAGGATATTTTGTGAGGCTTTTAGGTTCCTGTTTCTGTGACTGGATTCTTCCCTTAATAAACCGAGCATGTTGCCACTTAATTCTTTCACTGTCTGCCTTGCAGAGTTGGGAACTGGTATGTAAAAGCATATTGTAAAGGGCTAAGTGCAACTGAAAACACAAGAGACTGCTGTTTCTCTTTTGGCATCTTTTACTGGCTCTCTTGCCTCTGGAATGGGGGTTCGTGGAAGGGCATTAAGCCAGGCTGCTTTCTGCTGCCCTCTTTGTTATTCCTTAGCTCACTGTCTGTACTTTAATAATACCGAACTGTGTGTAGTCCCTACGTACTCTATCCATTCAACAAGTATTTATTGGCAAGTATTTATTACCAGGCTCTGTGATAATTTTGGGGTATAGAGCAGCAAGCGACATCAAAAGAGCAAACCCTGACTTTTTGGAGCTTGTGTTCTGGTGGGCAATAATATACAATTCACACTCTACATGCCAGTCCCTCCTCCATGGGATGAATGCACGCTATTTCACTCACTACATTCAGATGTTAGTCCAACGAGGTAGGTCTTAGTATCAACCCCACTCTATCAATGAAGAAACAGAGATACCGAGAGGCTAAGTGTAATGACTTGCTCAGGGTCACACAACCCCTCTGGTTTCACTCCAAGATGCACATTACCTCTAAGTGTTTTTTTCAGGAAGCGTATTTGGCAGGACTCTTTCCCAAACCCCCAGATGGTGCTACGTGTCCTTCCTTTATGCTTCTATAATTCTTACACATGACCTTTCATAATCTTCACACTGAAACGCTCTGTCTAAACTATCTTTTACATCAGTGCTTCCCTCCCTACCAAAAATAATTTGAGCCACAATCATAATTTTAAAATTTCTGATAAATAGCCACATTAAAGAAGTAAAAAGAAACAGGTACAAATTAATTTTAATAATCTATTTGATTGAAGCCTATATAGTACAATATATTCATTTCAACATGTCATCAATATAAATCAGTTATTGAGATCGTTTATATTTTTTCCCTACTAAGTCTCTTAAGGCTTACACATCTCAATTCAAATTAACCAAATTTCAAGTGCTCAGTGTCTACATGTGGCTGGTGGCTACTATACTGTATGCCACATTGGAGTTTATCTTCTTCATGGACAGCTACTGCATCCAGTTACTCCTTGTTTATCTTTGCATTCATTCCCAGGCCCTGGCGTCTCGTCGGCCTCAGTATACATGTGTTAAATTGGGCTGATTTGAACTTCAGAACAATTCTCTGCCTCTTTTTCCTTACCTGCTCTGGAATGTGGAACACTAAATCTCCTAATTCCTTCACTATCAGTTCAAATTGAATGGTGTCATAGGAATACCAGTCTCAATACAGCAAGATGTAAGAATCGCCTCGTTTTACAACTGGTCCTAACATCAGTTGTTTTTGTGAATGATGTGAAGACCTGTGTGAGACGGGTTGTTTGCTCAAGCTCACATAGGTAGTATACGTCAGAATAAAAACTAGGTCCCTGCTGTCTTTGCTTTAGGCCAGTAATTTTCCCAGTACTTCTCAAATTTTCCCACTGCAAGAATGCCCTGGGTATTAGAGGCAAATATGTAATCACTCTGCATTCCTAAGCCTCATGAGATCAGGGGCATAGGCCCAAATAGCCAGCGAGAAAATGTACGTTTGTATTGACTCCTATGGCATGACCTATCCATGTCTGATTTTGATGAATAACATTTAGAATTCCTTCCCACTAAATAAAATACATTCTGGGGAGATGAGTCATGTTTATCCTGTGATTTTTTTTTAAAGGCATGGGAATAAATGTGGTTCAGTGGTCCGATGTAAGGAGTCTGGTGCTAGGAATGGTGTGTACATGGGCAGAGGTGGGTGTGCAGTGGGGTTGACAGAGTTACAATCTCAATCTCCCAAAAGGAGAAGTTATGTTAGGTGGGACAAGTCTCAAAAGTGCCTGAAATTGTGTAAATTGTTGAAACGCAAATCACAGGTCTTTGTTGTAATAATAGAAAAATAGTTCCAAAAAGATGGAGATTTAGTTAAATAAAAGTACAGAGTCTCTTTTGGAAAGTTTGACTAGCCATCTAGGAGGAAAAATCTACAATGTAGTAATGTCCAGCTGTCCTTGTTATTCTGTGCACATGTGAAGTCTTATATTTTTTAACAAAATAATGATCCAAGTATATGAGCGTTTTTTTCTTATATTGTTATTTCCATGGCAATGTTGTTAGTCCTAAAGTTATTTTAGCTATGCAATTGAATTCCAAGGGCAAATATTTACACTTTGAGAGGTGGCCACACTGTGTTTCCACTCAGTCAACAGAGGCAATTGGGGACTGATTGTATCCTGAATTGCAATGAACATTCATGAGTCAGATACTCATGGTCCTACTCTAGACATTCTGAGGATGCTGCCCGTGGAGACGCAACTGGATATGGTGGGAAGAACACTGAATTAGGAGTCACGGGATCCATGGTCTCATCTCAGCTCTGTCTTTAATGAGCTGTATAAGTGTAGGCAAGGTAATTCCTACTCCTGGACCTCAGTTTCCACATCTTTAAAAAGAACATCATGAATGTTTGATAATTTATTCAAAAGTTCCCTTATATCTCTGGCATTCTTTGGTGTCCTATTATTTTTTTTTTAATACTTGGCATGCCATCTTGGTAGAGGAGAAAAATGTGCATCTCAGCCATCTGTGCCTTACCTTTTATTGAAGCCAGTTGTTTGGATATTGAAATACTGCCAACATAATGATTCTGGGAGTTGGGGAATTGAAATGAGAATGTAAAGCAGAGGAATACAATGATTTAAAATTATTTCTTTTGGTAAATATTCTCTGAGCATTTTGGTGGAGCAGCCATCTGTCTTCCAAAGTCTTTTCTTCCCTTGCCACATAGTAAAGAAATGCTTGCACATGGCTGGCCAGCTAGCCTACATATTTCGGTCTTCCTTATAGTTATGCAGCCACGTGTCTAAGTTCCTACAGATGAAAAGGGGCAGAAGAGAAGTGAACACCTTCCACATAAGCTCCTCCATTCTCTTTCCCATTCGAACTGACTAAGGTAGAAATTATCAGGAAGACTTTAGAAGCTACATGCTGATCAGCCTGTGTCTCACGTGACTTCATAGAGTAAAACTGCCACAGACTTGGATCCCCCACTCTGGAGTGTCACATGACAAAGAAAAAAGAACTTTGTGTTCTGTAAAATGCTCAGACTTTGAAATCTTTTTTATTCCAGCAACTTAGCCTTCCCAACTAAGAGCCTGGGCATTATGCTGAGGTATGGGATGCATGAGTGATGGAGACATTCCTACCCTCTTGGGGCTTAGTCCAGAAAAAAAGACAGTTACTAGGCAGGTAACTTGATAAAAAGTGATGGCAGAGCACATAGAGAGGCGAAGAGGCACTAACCTAGTTTACAGTCAGGGTAATGGCATTCTGCCTGAGCATAATAAATCAGCAGTGAAGAAGGAGGAAGAGTGTTCCATGCAGAAGGAGCTTATGTGCTGAGGCCTGATGTGGCAGAAATCACTGTATGATTGAAGAACCAGAGGAGGTATAGTGTCGGTGGAACCTAGAGAAAGAAGGAGATAGTGGTCAAGGGCCAGGCAGGGCCAGAGCATGTGGAATCTTCGAGGCTTTATTAAGGACACCAGTTATGATCCTAAGAGTAGGGGAATCGTGTAATCAGATTTGCATTTTAGGAAATTAGATCGAAAAGGGGCCAGATTGGAGGCAGGAAGTTGTATCTTGCTCCCTTATTAACAGCAAATCAAAGTTTGCTTGATTTTTCAACCCCTAATGGCTGGAGTGTTTTTTTTTTTTTTTTTTTTTTTTTTTTTTTTTTTTGAGAAAGCCAATAAGAATAAGATAATTTGGTAATATCTTAGATAATTCCTTAAAAGGAACTTTCAGGTTCAGGATCTGGTTTTGGCATTAACTAGTTGAGGGATCATTGTCTTTGAGAGTCCTCATTTTTTTCACTTGTTTACAAAGCTGGACCCTTTGTTATCTTGAACCCTTCATGGTCTTCTCGGTGAGCACCTCCTGCTCTTCTACAACCTCTGCACCATTATTATTTCCTTTATAAAATGAAGGACGTTTCATTTTGCACAATGTGCACTTGTAACATGACATATATTTCTTTCTATTGCCATAACTGAGAAACAAGAGCTATGCAGTTCATCTCCGTGTCTCCTTTCCCTGGCCTCGCAGAGCACCTAGCACTTGCTAGGTGTCCATAGAAGGTTTTCGGAACTAAAGCCAGTCTCCTAAATGAAATTATAGGAGAAAGAACATTTTTCATTTATTAAACCTAACTACACATTTGAATTACGTAAAACAATTTCTCTCTGTCATGGATAATTTGAGAGAATATGCTACACAGTTAAAGTCATTACCGATTTTGATATACAAATGTTTCTCAAGAGGCAATAAAAGATATTTGTGTTAATTGCACCATCTTTTCAGTTTGCAGTCAAGGTTGCAAGTTTGCTATCTTTGTTTTTCCAAGTGAATTTAAAGCTGGATTGGGGTAGGTAATAGGCACCAAACTGGCAATAACTTGGCCATAAAGCTGTTGACATAAACTCTTTGGAAATATATCTGCAAAGTTAAATGAAACTCAATAAAAGACAGCCAAGTGCCACTGACCTTTTGGGCATTTTCTTAGGTGCTAAGTGGATGTTGGGGCTGCAGAAGGATTGGGATCCCCTTCCAAGTAGAGAGCTTTGTCCTGGGTACTGTGTATACAGCCACTCACTGTCTTGTCTTCTGTTTTGTGTCAGTCCTTCCTAAGCAACAGTCACTTGCCCACTGTTACTATTGTCATTCACTCCATGACAACTATACAGTTGCATGTCTAGAAGAACTTTTCCACAACGTCGTTGTATGTAGACATCAAATCATTCAATAAATATTTTCATGTCTACTGTGAGCCAGGCACTGTACACAAGGTGCTTGGGAAGTAACAGTGAGCAAAATCAGACAGAGCCTGGTCTCAAGAATTTCAGTGGGAATGGCGGATATTAATCAAGTAATTGCATAAAAAGTCATACCTTTGAACAATACTATTCAAGGTAGATGCCATGAGATTGACATCAGTGAGGCATCCCTGGGGAAGTGATGCTTGATGATGAGTAGGCATTAACTAGGTGCAAGGATGAATACTGTAGGCAGAAGGAATGAGTGGGAGGGAATGCGGTGATCAGAAGGGACTGAAAGAAGGCCGGTATGACTGAACCAAAGAGATCGAGGGGGCGTGTGTCTCAAGTTGAGGCTGAAGAGCAGGCTTGGTGGCCAGGCCATGCAGGAACTTGTAGGTCACTGTAGGGGTTCTTTCTGTATGTCAAAAGAATAGGAAACCATTTGTGTATTTTAAGCAAGGAGGCTAATGAAGTTAAATTTACATTTTTGAGAGATGACTCCAGCTTCAATGTGAATAAGGGTAGAGAGGTGGACAGAGTAAATGCATGAAGGCCAATAGGAACGCTATTTTCCTTGTGGTAGCTTAGGGCGCTTTCTGTAAAAAGGAGAGGATGTATCAGCTCAGGCAAATGAGTCTGGTTCAGGGAAGACATGTTAAACAATTGCATGAGTCACTGTTGAGCTGATGGGTGAAAGGAGCTTGAATTCTCAAGAGAAGCTAAGAATAATCACTATTCAGGCTACAATAGGCTCTAAGGGCTCTGCTACCTTATTGCTGCTTCACTGGTCACTGCTCCACCATCAGATGACCATGTGTTGTCACTCTCTCATTGCCTGCTTCTCTTTATGGGTTTTCTTTTTTCTCTTCCCTCTACCACTTCACTAATTTCCTCAGCATTTTAAATTCAAATTTGGGATGCAGGAGAGAGTTTGATAGGCCTTACTAATTGCCATTGCCCATACTGGTCAGAGTTTTAGTGCCAGTTCACCCTGTAGGTTGTCAGTTACCCCATGCAGTTATCTCCTGTGGGTCACATGATGATGCTGAGCCAATGTTACTGCTCAACTTAAAAACCCTTAGAGATGGCTTCCTCAGAAGGGAGGTCTGAGTAGGTTTCCCAAAATCTGGATTTTTCAACAAACACTTTAAGTGATACTTACGTTGACTACATTGCGAAGTTGTTGGCAGTGGTTAAAAACAGGCTTTGGAGTGGAAAGAGCTGGGTTTTAATTTTGACTCTGACACTCCCTAGTTGTGTTACTTGGAATAAGATCCTTAAAACTGCTACGTTGGCTTTCTCATCTGTGAAATACTTTCCTCATGGAATTTTTGTCAAGGCTGGATGAGTTTGTGTTTTGGGGCACTCAGGACAGTGAGGAGAAATCAAAAACAGTCATAGAGAAGACTATGTTCAATATGATGATATCAGAGACATTCACAGAAGGATGTGCAGTGAGCAAGGTCAGGAAACTATGCAGAGGTGCTGCAGCATCCAGAGATTAGCAACAGTGGGAAGCTGTTACCACACTTAGTTCTAAGGGGCAAGGAGAGCAAATATTACAGAGTTGAGTGAGAGCTGAATTCTTGGAGCAGATTCACTTGACAGCAGCTGTGAATAAAGGGAGGCAGCTACTCTTAGAAATGCAAGCAAAGCAGGGAGGAAGGGCAAAGAAATACCTATGCTTTGGTCTCCAGCCTATGCCTCCAGTTGACTAAGCCAATCAGGAAAATGGCAGCAAGGGAGCCTGGGAGGTGGTGTCTATAGGAATCAGCCTCTGGGGGCATAGACAAGGGCAGAGAATGGAATGAGAGGAAGGGTTGAACAAATGGGCAAGAAACAGCATGGTGATGATGATGATGATGATAATGATGACAGAAGCAAAGTGCTGGGAATCTGAGATTTATTGATTATTTTCCTCTTGTCAGGATTAAATTAAAGGTGGCATGCTCAGAAAGATACAGCAGTTTTTGCAGACATTTCAAGTGAAAATGCACCTTTATTTTTCCTACATCAAAACCTCATCTCATGAAACATTCAGGCTGTTTACACACAGTTTCAAACTATCTGGGCAAAACATTATTTTAAAAATCCCTCAGTCAACCTGGCCCTTTGGCAATGTGAGAGCAGGGCTTGAGTGTACTGAGTAGGTATCCATTTGGGAAAGGAAATGTGCTGATGGCAGCAGGGGTTTGACAAAGGACTTCATGTGTGGATTTATTGACAAGCACACAAGACTACCGACTTGAAGATTGCAACAGTGGGCCTCTTGTCTGTGGGCTCAGCAGGCTGCAGACAGTGGCAGATTAGCACAGTATTAATGGTGCTTGAAATTTGGTAAACTATTGGAGTGAGGAAAAAAAAATGCCATCGCAGAGAGAAGTGTTTTTTACCAGGTTTGCTGTTGATGCTTGAGTCCGCCAACTTACTTCCTATTCAGTAAAAATCAAATGGCATGTAATAGGAGCAAGAGTCTAAAAGACTTGCCTTTGATGATTTGGCTTATGCTTTTTTTTTTTTTTTTTTTTCCTGGTGCCAAGTTCTTTATTGAGGGTTCTGGAAACAGTAATTTCATAAATTGTGTTTCTGGGAGTGTCAGAACCACTGGAATGAATGCAAAGATTTTCATGTTACGGGCATTTTCCTGGCTGAAAGGACTGCTAGGTTCTCCAAGCGGCTATAACTTCTGAAGAGTCATTGCTGGAGGCAAATGCCACCAGGTTGGTCATGATGTTGCCTTTTTGGAAAGAACTGCCCCCCTGCCCAAGCCTCACTCTAAGAGAAATAGTGTATAGACCCTTAGTTTCATAGTCAGTTGATATGTTTAAATATATTATTGTTATATTTATAGAATATTGTTTAACAATGCATACTTATTAAAATTTATGCATTGAGTAACTTTTATTGTGTGAGATGTTTGATAAATATTTCTTTTTATTCTGATAACCATTAGAAATAAGAATTGTCATCATTTGCAAATGACGAAAATGAAGTGCAGAAGAGTCCAAAATCCTCTGGCTAATTAATGGATAAGCCTCAATTCAGACCTAAGACCATGCAGTTTCCAACCTGATCCTATTTATTTTACATCATTTTATCTCTTACTGCACTCTTTGATCATGAAAATTAAAGCCACAGCTCTTGTTTCCTAAGCTGACAAATCCTAATTCTCTGTTGGTCTCATGAGAACTCATCAGAATTTTTCTAGCTCAAATTAGCCTCTTCTCCCCTAAATATCCTTGAAACATGTTTTACATTTATTTGATATCTCTTATCATTGTTTTATGTTTATAATTAGTTATTATTTACCTTCTCTCTTCACTAGATTGAGAACATTAATAATAGCAACAATAATAGTAATAAACAGCATTGATTTAAAACCTCCTATGCACTGGACATTGTTCACATGTATCCTCTCGTTAAATTCTTTGAACACTTTTTTGGTGGGTACTATTGTGATTATTTGCGTTGTTATAGATGCCTGGGCTTGCCCAAGAACACGTAGCTACTAAGACTTGGAATTCAAGCACAGGTCTTTCTGAGTCCAAGAATCAACCTGTTAATCACTATCTTCTCATCAAGAATCACAGCTTAATCATTTTTGTATCTTCTGCTCAGGGTCTGGCATCATGAAATGATTAAGTAATTGGACATTTGTTGAGTACAGTGTGACCTAGAACCTAGAGTGTGATAGCCACTGGGGAAGTTGGGCTTTTGTCTGGTGCCAAGACATATTAACATCTAGCGTCCCTGCTTTCTCACTGCTTTCAAAGGAAGCTGACAATGAAATGGAATCCCCAAGGAGAGGGTGTCATGCCCACTAAAGGAAGAGATGCCAAGGGTGAGGGGTGTGTTTTGCACATAGTAGACCTTCAAAAAATATTCATTTGAGTATATCATAGTTTATCCCTTCTTCTGATGATGTATATTGGGTTTATTTTCAGTTTGAATCATTATGAATAAAGGTTCTGTGGACATCTTTCTACATGTGTTTTTGTGTACCTAATCACTCATTTCTTTTGCATATATATCTAGAAATGGAAGTGTTGGATTATGTTTAATTTTCTCAAAAACTGACAAAGTTTTCCAAAGGAGTGTTCCATTTTATACTTCTGCCAGTAATGCAGGAATGTATAAGAGCTCCAGTTACTCATATCTTCACCAACATTTGGCATTGCCAGCCCTTTTAAACTCTGTTTATTCTGGCATTACAGTGTGGTTTTAATTTGCATTTCCTTAATAACAAATGAGTACCTTGTCATGTGCTTACTGGCTGTGTGGTTATCTTTTTTTGGACCACTACTCAGCAATAAAAGAACAAAATGCAAGTACATACAATAACAGGAATAAACCGTGAAACCATTATCCTGAGTAAAGAAGCCAGGCACAAAAAGGAATATGTTGTATGATCCTACTTTAAATAAAGTTTAAGAAAAATAAAAACTAATTTATAATGGTAAAAGTTAAAATACTGGTTACCTCTGGAAGGAACATCAATTGTGAAGTAGCACAGGAGGACTTTCTGGGATAACGAAAATGTTTTATATTTTGATCTGGGAGTGGTCACATGGATGTATCCATACGTAAACACAATTTACTTCAGTAAAGTTTATTAAAAAGTTTCCATGTGAATTCATTTAAGAATGAAGTTAAGAAAGCTGGAATCACCCCAGATTGAGGTCACTACCAAATGCCACTGTGGTTCCCAGCCAAGGGGAAAGTACAGCTCTGCTCACTGCGCACTGGTGATCTGGTCTTGTCTTTGAATCCCACCCTTTTTTCCACAAGACAAAAGTCACAGGAACTTGCTTTTCCAACTAAATATGTCCTCAATTCTATTAGTAAATGTACTCCTTTCTTTTCCAGTGGAATCTTGGTAGGAATAACTTTGTCGAACTCTTCGATTTTGTTGCTATAAACTCAGTTGAGTAAACTACAAAGTTGGGCTTAGGGCATTTGGGTGATTTGTATTGATGTTTTTAAAGATCTAATTGAATTCTGCTCTAGAGCCAGTTCTTTGCTTTTTCTGCAGTAGAAGACCAGAAACTTACTTTCATATCTGCTGAGACAGTATCTTATGTAGCCAAGCAATGGCACTCTCACATTTAGATTGAAGCGATAGTGCAGCAACTGGCACCACACTTCTCTGCCACTCCCTTCTTACTTGATTGCCCTTGCCAAGGTGGGAAGCTGGTGCAAAAGGACAATGAGAGCTACTTACACAACTAAATCTTCTTCACTTAGCCACAACTATATGCAAGAAACACAAGGTCATTCTGATATAAATTTTATATCCTCTTCCCATAATTGACCATTTGTCGGGTCTCTATTGTGTTATTGATGTGGTGTAAGTTTTTGATTTCTTTTTAATTTTTGAAAAGTTGTGGTATAATGTGCATAACATAAAATTTATCAGCGTTAACATTTTTCATGTGTACAGCTCAGCAGCATTGAGTGCATTAACACTGTTGTGCAATCATTACTGCCATTCATCTTTAGAACTCTTTTCATCTTGCAAACTAAAATTTTGTGTTTAACACTAACTCCATTCTCCCTCCTTCTAGCCCCTCACAAGCAACATTCTACTTTCTGTCTCTGTGAATTTGAGTACTTTAGGACCTCCTGTAAGTGAAAACATATAGTAATGCCCTTTTAGTAACTGGCTTTATCCTCAAGATTTATCTGTGCTGTAGCAGGTGTCAGAATTGTCTTTCTTTTTAAGGCCCGGTGCATGTATAAATGTATATGTCACATTTTGTTTATCAGTTCATCTGTCAATGGACATGGGGGTTGCCCCCGCCTTTTGCCTGTATTAATAATACTTCTATGAACACGTGTGTACCAATACTTATTTGAGTTCCTGCATTCAATTCTTTTGGGTATATACTTAGGGGTGAAAGTGCTGAATCACATGGCAATGGTACTTTTAATTTTTGAAGGAACCATCATACTATTTCCACAGTTAAAACATTCCCACCAGCGGGACACAAGGGTTCTGATTTCTCCACATTTGTGACCATAGTTCTTTTAGGGTTTGCTTTGTTCTGATTATAGCCATCCTAATGAGATGGTATCTCATTGTGGTGCTTTTTTTTCCCCTAATGATTAGTGATGTAGAACATCTTTTCAAGTACTGTTTGGCTATTTGTATATCTTCTTTGGAGAAATGTCTATTCAAGTCTTTTACCCATTTAGAAAAAATCAGGTTTTTTTTTGTTTTTGAGTTGTAGAAATTCTTCATATATTCTGAGAAAGTTATGTTTTTGAACATCTCATTTAGTTCTCATAATAACATGAAAAAGAAGTATCATTTACTCAACTACATATGAGGACCCTGTGACAATATACAGAAATTAATTTTAGCAATTCATTCACTAAATACATATTTATTGAGTGCTTACTATGGGTCCAACACTATTAATAGCAATGAGAAATGCAATGCTTAGACAACACTGACCAGGATCCTTGTCCTTTTGCAGCATACATTCTAGTAGGAAGACACAGAAGCAAGATTAATAAACAAAATATAGAATATATTAGAGGCGGTGAGTACTAAAGAGAAAACAAAAGTGAGTAGGGATGGGGGAATATACAATCCTGGTGCGGGATGGGGAAGCCTGCAATTTTAGACAGGTTGGGCAAGGAAGGTCTCCTGACATGATTTTTGACTGAAGACCTAAAGAAAGAGATGGGGGCAAGCATGAGAGTATCTGGGGGACTAACTTTGTAGCAATAAAGATGTAGAGAAAGGCAAAAATGTATATCTCTCTGGTTCCAAATAATAATGATAATAATATGCTAATAATCACTCTTCTAACCACTGTTGTCACTAGAATTTTTCAGCAAATGTGCTATATAATTTAAACTTTTTAAAAATTTTGAGATAATTATAGATTCACTTGCAGTTGCAAAAATTAATGTAGATATCCCACATACCCTTTACTCTGTTTCCCCAATGATAAAATCTTCATAAATATTATGACCAAGACATTGACATTGATATAGTCACGAGGTAGTATGCCAGGGCAGGGCATGGTGGCTCATGCCTGTAATCCCATTACTTTGGGAGGCCAAGGCAGGTGGATCAACTGAGGTCAGGAGTTCAAGACCAGCCTGGCCAATATGGTGAAAACTCGTCTCTACAAAAACAAAACAAAACAAAACAAAAAAACAATAGCTGGGCATGGTGGCAAGTGCCTGTAATCCCAGCTACTTTAGGAAGTCGGGGTAGGAGAATCGCTTGAACCCAGGAGTTGGAGGTTGCGGTGAGCTGAGATCGCACCATTGCACTCCAGCCTGAGTGACAAGAGTGAAACTGTCTCAAAAAAAAAAAAAAATTAGCAGTATGCCTCATGTTGGCCCTTCTTTCCCACCCCTACTTCTACTTAAACTCTGGCAACCACGAATTTGTTCTCTATTTCTATGACTGTTATTTCAAAAATGTTATATAGATAGAATCATGCAATACGCAACTTTTGGGGTTGGCTTTTTTTTTTTTAATTCACAGAATTCTCTAGAGATTCACCTAGGTTGTTGCACATTTGTTATTTGTTGTTGCTGGGTAGAGTTCCATAGCGTGTATGCACCACTATTTCACTAACCCATTGAAGAACCTCTTAAGTTGTTACCAGTTTTAAGTTATTATGAATAAAAGTGCTACAAATATTAATGTAAGGCTTTTGTGTAAACTTTGGTTTTGATTTCTCTGAGACAGATGCTCAGAAGTGCAATTATTAGGTTGTATGGTAGTTGTACATGTAGCTTTGTAAGAAACTACCATCAACTTTTCCAGATTGGTTGTGTCGCTTTACATCACTACTAGCAATGTATGAATGATTCAATTTCCTGGAATGTTTGCCTGAATTTGGTGTTATTATTATTTTCTATTTTAATTATTCTGATAGCTATGCAGTGATGTTTCACTTTGGTTTTAATATGCATTTCTCTAATCACTAAAAATACTGAACATCTTTTTTATGTTTATTTGCCATTTGTATATTTTTTCAGTGATACGATTATTTCACGTTTTGCTCATTTTCTAATAGAATTAAAAAAAATTTTTACTGTTGAGTTTTCAAAGTTCTTTTTATGTTCTAGTTCCTTCTTTGCCAGATATGTAATTTGTAACTATTTCCCTCACTGTATAGCCTGTCTTTGCATCCTCTTATGGGACTCTTTCAAAAAGCGAAAATTTTAAATTTTGTTGAGATCTAATTTTCCTTTTATGGACCATCCTCTGGAGTCAAGTCCAAGAATTCTTTGTGTAGCTCTAAATCTTGAAGATTTCCCCAATCTATGTTCCAGAAGTTTTATAGTTTTTACATTTTACATTCAAATCTGTTCTTCATTTTGATTTTTGTTAAAAGATGTGAGACTTAGAATTTTTTAATGCATGTCCAATAGCTCTAGGACTATTTGTCGTAAAGGCTACCCATCCTCCATTCAATTATTTTTGGATATTTTAAAAAAAATAGTTAAACCTTTTTGTGTGGGTCTATTTTGAGTTTCTTAATTCTGTTCTGTTGATCTTCATGTCTGTCCCTCCAATTTACTGCATAGTTTTTCTAACTGTGTTGTGTAACTTTTGTAACTGGACAGACCAATTCCTCCCACTTTATTTCTTTGGTTTCAAAGTTGTTTTAGCTATGCCAATTCTTTTGTCTTTCCATATACATTTAGAATAATCTTGTCTATATCTATTTAAAGAAAAAACCCTTCATTATGACATCTTTGCCCATAACTATGTCTTGAATGACATTGCTTAGATTGTCTTTCAGGATTTTCACAGTTTTGAGTTTTACAATTATGTCTTTAATCCATCTGGAGTTACTTTTTGTATATTGTGTAAGAATGGGGTTCAGTTTCAATCTTCTGCATATGGTTAGCCAGTTATCCCAGCACTATTTATTGAGTAGGGATTCTTTTTCCCATTGATTGCTTTTGTCAGGTTTGTTGAAGATACTAGATAAAGAAAATGTAACACACATACACCATGGAATACTATGCAACCATAAAAACGAATGAGATTATGTCCTTTGTAGGATCATAAATGGAGCTGGTAGCCATTACCCTTAGCAAACTAACTCAGGAACAGAAAACCAAATACTGCATGTTCTCATTTATAAGTGGGAGTTAAATGATAAGCTAAATGATGAGAATACCTAGTATTAAGCCGAGTACCTATTACCTATTTAATTAATCACCTAGGATGATTAAATAATCTGTACAACAAACCCCCATGACACAAGTTTACCTATGTAACAAACCTGTACTTGTACCCCTGAACTTAAAAGTTGAAAAAAAAAACCTTAGGGGGAGTTTCATAGGAAGTGAATTAAAATTCTATAGGAAGGGAAGGAAAGTATATTGTAATTAGCCATAGTTTTCCTTATTGTGTTCTTTTTTTTTGTCCTGATATTCACGATTCCTTCTTTCATAGTTTAGATAATGTCCTTTAATCATTCTGTTAGAGTGGGTTTGTCTGTGTATTAGTCTGTTTTCACACTATTACAAAGATACTACATGAGACTGGGTAATCTATAAACAAAGGTTTAATTGACTCAGTTCTGCTTGGGTGGGGAGGCCTTAGGAAACTTACACAATCATGGCAGAAGTGGAAGCAGACGCATTCTTCACAAGGCTGCAGGGGAGAGAGAAGAAAGCAGGTAAAACTGCCGCTTATAAAACCATCAAATCTTGTGAGAACTCACTCACTGTCATGAAAACAGCATGGGGAAACTGTCCCCATGATCCAGTCACCTGCCACCGGGCCTCTCCCTTGACACGTGGGGATTACAATTTGAGATGAGATTTGGATGGGGACACAGAGCCAAACCATGCCAGCTGGTAACAAATTCTTTTAGTTTTCCTTTCTCCAGTAATGTCTGTATTTCCATTTCATTCTTGAAGGTTATTCTCACTGGATATAAGACTGGGGTATAATAATCATTTTCTTTCAGTACTTGGTAAAGGTTCCATTTACTCCTGGCCTCCGTGGTTTCTGATGAGAAATCCAGTGACATTCTAACTGTTTTTGCCCTATGGGTAATATTCTGTTCCTCTCACAGTGCTTCCAATTTTTAAAAATTGTCTTTAGTTTTTAACATGTGAGTATAATATGTCTCAGTGTGGATGTCTCCTCCAGTTTGGAGTTCGCTCAGCTTCTTGAATCTATAGATTTATATCTTTTTTCAAACATGGGAAGTCTCCCACTTCCCATGTTTTTCTTCTTGTACTTCTCAGTCCTTCACCTTCTTTCCCCCTCTCCTTCCAGGGCTTTGATAACATGAATGTTAGGTCTTTTGGTAGAGTCTCATAGGAACCTAGGGCTGTGTTGACTTTTTAAAGTTTATTTTCTCCCTAGTGCTTAGATTGCCTCATTTATGTTGTTTTATCTTAAAGTTTGCTGATTCTTTCCTCTGCTCTCTTAATTCTGCTATTGAGGAAAATTTTCAGTTATTGTATTTTTCAGTTCTAAGATTTGCATTTGCTTCTTTTTTATAGCTTCTGTTTCTTTACTGAGATTCTCTATTTTTAAAAGTTATTTTAAGTATGCAGACTTTTTTTTTACTATGGATTCTCTAAAATCTGTGTCAGATAATTCTCACATCTTCATCATCTTGGTGTTCATATCTCTTGATGTCTATTCATTCAGTTTGAAATCTTTCTGGTTCTTGATATGATGGGTGATTTTTAAAAATTGAAGCCTGGATATTTTGGTTATTATAAGACTTCTAATCTTATTTAAACCTTCTATTTTAATGAGGCTCCTCTGTACTTTCTCAGCAAGGAAATGGACAGGGTGCCACTTCTTTATTGCCAGGTACAGGTAGATGTCATAGTGGGGGCTTCTTGTTACTTCTGCTTGGGAGTAAGAGTCTTAGCTTCCTCCTATGCCTCCATTGATGTTTTCCTGGCTGAGAGGCATAGGAGTGCCTTGTTACTGCTCCCCAAGGGGACCCCATTGCTATCACTGGTGGGGTTGCCTCATTACTGCTAGGTTGGGGAGAAGGTCCCATCT